CTACTAATAAAAACTATTTCAATGTTAAATTAAGCAACCTCTACTAGTAAGCACCTAGAAGATAACTACTCAAGAAAAAGCATCAATGAAAAAATCTTGTGGCATGGAGGTTTTTACCATATACCAATGTTGTAAAAACCTGACTTATCCTGAATTCACAGAATGTTTTGGGTTGGAAGAAGCTCAAAGCCCATCTCATCCCACTCCTGCCATGGGCAGGGACACCTTCCATTACCCCAGTTATGCGTGGTTATTCCAAGGGCCCCTCCAACCTGGCCTTGGACATTTCCAGGGGTGGGGCAGCCACATCTTCCCTGGGCACTCTGTGCCAGGGCCTCGTCACCCCCCCAGGGCATAATTTCCTCCTAATATTTAATCTAAATCTACTCTCCCTCAGCAAAGGCCTTCTCCCTTGTCATATCACTACATGCTTTTGTGAAAAGTGACAGATTTAAGCTTGTTATTCATAAAGGGATTTTTACCTAATATTTATAGTTCTAAAAGATTACATTGAATAGTCTCTCTCAATTACTTATTGAGTTCATGACTATGAGCAGTGGGCTTTGCTATGTTTCTTACTGTAGTCTTCTCTTATTTAACAAAACCCAACATTTTGAACAAAGAGAAGAAAACAAACAAAGAAAAAGGAGAGGCATTGCAGTGTAAGTGCAAGTAAGCCACAAGTACCTGCCACACAACCTTCAGCCCACCACCAGTCCAGGATGAGGCAGCATCTTCCATAAGGAAGAACATGAAGCAGTAGTTTTAGGAAAAAAGCCATTTCACCAGAGAAAACAAAAACTAGCTCTTCCCTTCACATCATCTACAAAGCATCACTTTTGAAGTATTAGTCCTGTAAAGGCTGATTCTTACCAAAGAGGCACACAACATCTGACCTGCTGTGCTGGAATACCCAGCAGTAAAGACAAAGGCATCTTACACCTAAGGACACACAGAGATATATTTAAGTCAATTTGTCAAGTGTTTCCCTCCTCTGAGGGTTATTCTGCAGCTGCAATTACCATTCCCTGCTTTTTTTTCAGAATATATGAATTGGGTTCTCTGAGATGACAAGGTTTGGACTGTGTCAGACAGAAACCCACCATCCTTTGGCCAAAACACTACCTGCCTGACAGTGGAAGGCCAGAGAAAGCCACTGAACTAAAGCACCTAGGCCCATGGTTTGATGTAAAAGAAGAAATTAAAAAAACCCTCAACACAAATCCTTAGCAACAGCTAAATAAAGGATTTTAAGTCCACTAAGGCAGCAGCGCTTTGAGGCACGATGAGGTTTTTCACATGCTACTGAGCACAATAATCAATATTCACACACATCTACTTGCAATTTTGCCTAAAGTCTACTGTTCCAAATTATACCAGTTTAACTTTGCTCACATTAGAATTCATTTTAGAGAAAAATATTTAGCATAGACGCAATATGCAAGATGCCCTGCATTTATATTATAATTTATTCTTCAACACACTGAACATCTGAATCAAAACACAGCACACCTTCCCGGGAACACTCGTGATTATGAATACTGGATCACTTACAAAGCTTTAAGTCAAAAGGAAAAGGAGCATTATTATGTAGTGTAGAAAATTTAGTAAACTATACTTAGCCTTGTTTTTGTTAGTCTTTCATTTCATGCACAGTGAAATACAATCAACACAGCAGAGAGAATTCATGCTCCAGACCAGAATATACCAAACAGCATATGCAAAGAAGACACATTACCTCCCTGAAAGCACAATAATTTTTGGAAAGAAACTGCTTCATCTGTCCTACAACAATTTCAGAACAAAATACAGATACAACTTTCTAGCAGAAATCAACTGACTGAAATATGACATTTTCTCCTGTTTCAGAACATGACTTAAAATACCAGTAACAACATATGACATCAGACAGAGAAAAGCACCCAACTGGCTGCAATGTGAAGCCGAAAAAAAGCCCCATAAAAATGTGAATGTCTCAGGAAAAAGAGCAAACTACAACATTAAGCCAAATGTCATACAAAGTCATGTCATATAAAACCAGCAGCAGTCTTCTTCATCTCTCACACTGCACAAAGCTAAGGGCCATAAAGGCCTTTCAAGTGAAACACAGCAAAGATGCTGAAACACAAGAGAAGGCAGTCTAGACAGACATTTCCATCAATAATCCCCCTAAGTGAATCATGAATAAGAGGGTAAGGATAGAGGAACCTGAAGAACAGCAACATGCCAACCTATAGACATGTCCTCAGAAGCTCAGTTAAAAATCACTGCAAATTGTCACACACACACCCCCCAACAATGCACTGCACAAAGAACAAACTGTGCAGCTGTTTAAGAACAAATTAAACTTATACACTGCACCTTTAACGCCAGAGGAGCTTCTCAGCCCTGCCCTCTGCTAGCCTGAGCCAGAGCAATTCCCACACCTGGCCAAAGAACACCCTTCAGAAACGTGCCCAAATACACAGCAACCACCTGGCACCTCCTGGCAGCTGAGGGACAGCTCCTGGGATCTGACAGGCACCTGAAATCTCTGAAATATGGAAAAGGAGGGCACACACAGAAGAGCTCTCATCTTCTAACCCGTGCTCAGCAGAAGCACAAGTACAGAGCAAACCATGGTCTGTTATTCGTCTGACTGTATCAGACAATCATCGTCAAACCTCCTACAACCCAACCATTCCAGAAACTAAGATTAGAAAAAAAAAAAAAAACCTAAACAAGCTCCTTTCCTGCTGCATCTGCAAAGGAAGAAAATGCACTTTACCCAAAAACAGTTCCCTAAATCTTGTGTGTCAACTACAGATTTAATCTATCATACCAATTCATCACCACAAAAATGTAACATTCCTATACAAAAACAAAAAATGTATCATTAGTGGTTTTCAACAGATTTCATATCCAGAAACATCTGCAGAGCAACGGATTCACTTAACCAGTCAAGGAACTTTTCTAACCACTAAACCAAGCAACAGATTTACTTCAAAATAGCACAGGTCAGATGTACCACTTTTGCACATGGAAAAAGCTCTAAGTGCACTTGACCAGAGACTGCCAAACCAGACCATACACTGTCCCACAACCCAACATCTGGTCTTAAAACGGAATAGTCATTCATGGGAAAGACAACATTTAAATTCGCATTGATAAGCTGAATCTGTAGAATATCTTTGCTAAGAAGAAGATATGAACAAGTCTGTGTTAAATTCATAGCCAAATTTTATATAAAATTTGCTCATTATCGAAGTCATTTTGTAATACCTGCCTAAAACTTTACAAGGTTTGCTCCTCTTTGGGTCTGGAACGAGGTCAAAGTGCTGAATTCAACATCACAATCTGCTGCCCTGGAAATTATTGCAGTGTTTACACAAAGAAGTTTATTATGAGATCTAATAGGATTGCTCAAAAAAAAAATGTTTTCCTTCTCCTTCTGAAAGCAATACAAGACAGACAGAAAGACTCCTTTGAGTAAGGACTTCTCCAACATTTTAATACAGAACCAAGCATGTTCCCAAAAGCAGAATGTTGCTATAACATGCTCTGTTTTTCAGGGTTTGGTTCTAATAACTAACATTTCTTTCCAGGACTCCGTACAATTTTCATCAGCAAGAAACAAAAATAAGCCACAGAATTACAAGTTCACATACACTCACATTTCTTTAGGAAATTTAATTTTTAGTTGACCCACCCTGTTCTTCTACACATAAACTTCAGCAACTTCTCTTTAAAAACAGCCAAAACAAGTGTAGCACTACCAAAGCCTTAACCTTGTTTCTGTCAGAAGATGTACAACTATTCACACTGGTGGAAGGACAATTTATTTGTACTGCACTATGAGTTACTGAAGGATGCCCAGTTTGCTCTCTGCACATAAGGAGCGTCCAAGTACCCACTCACACTCTGCTCTCCTGCCAACAACAGTCTTGGTTTCACCAAGAATGTGCACCACTCACAACTGAACCCAGTAAAACAAAATTCTTATCATTACCAAGCTTCTTCATTCTCTTTTGTTTATTTAGCAAATTAAAGGTTTTTGTTCTTCCTAAAGAACACATGCATATTCAGGAGAAGATCTATTTTTCATCATCATATTAAAGTTTTTGATTGCATCATTTGCTTGCAAATGCTTATCTCACATAGCAAAAAGGGTTGATCTTATTGCCTTATTATTTAAATATCTGCAAGTTGTGTTGCTCAGCTGGAAAACCACAAATAAATACCTATGTGTTTGGTAAGAAGCTAAATAAGTTTATTCTGCAGCTGAGAAACATGCACTGATGAAGCAGAATTCTGGAACAACATCTTAGCACAGTTTTAGTTAATGCTACTCCACACCACCTGCCCTTAACTCCTGCTTGGACCAAGAACTGCAGACATCTCAACACAAGCAGCATTGCTACTCTCCCCTCCCACCAAGTACCTTCTCTGCTCAGCATCTTTCACTCTTTTACAAACACAGGGACCTCTAACAAATGATGAACACCTGCATTCATTTTTACCTGCATTTGACAAATATGGTTTCTTCTGAGTATCTGCAGATTACAAACTCATCCTACACTGAAGTTCCCCTGAAGAAGGACACACAGAACTGGAAGAATAGCATTTTTAGGTACCCTCTTCCTCCTTGTATCCTTCCTCCTTCCACATAATACAAAACCATCTGGTGCAAGACTTGCAAATAGCATTCTGACAAACATTTTGAAATACCCACCAGAAAGAGGCTACGTTCCTCAAATCTTTTGCAGTCTGGCACAGAATTACATTTACCCACTGCGATCCTTCCCCTGTGATTCCCCAGTCCTCCACTGCAGCTGTGAGGATGCAGCCATGAGAAGAGTCTCTCCAGAACAGGAGTGTTTCTGTGTGTGTCCTTCCTAGGCACTACAGCCCTCTCTGCTTTTCAGCAGTTTTGTTACATGATCATATAAAAAGAATATCTGGCTTCTTCAGCATGAGATTATCAGCTACAAATATTTTTAAGGGACTTGAAAAAATATTACCTTATACTTAGACTCTTAGGAAAGATCTCCAGAATTTCCTGGAATGTGAGCGGCAGACATTCAGGTGCTTTATCTTTCTCCAGGGAAGTCCTTGTGCTTGGACTCAAAGTGTTCCCAGGTACACAGCCAACTTCTGTAATATGTACAGAAGAGCAGGAAGGTCAACTTTCATTAAAAACTACCTAGTATCATTGCCCTGAATATCCTGGTATAAGACAAATCATGTGGACACGCTTCAAAGGATCTAATTTTACCCCAGTAAATCCAGAGGAATTCCCAACACCATCCAGAAACTCACAAACATACCAGTTATGACAGTCAGGTAATCTACTCGGGAAACTAAAAGCACTCAGTTACTGTCAGGATTAGAGATAAATTTCATTGGTAGACAACCCTCACATGAATGAATCACACTAGAGATGCCTGTGGAGAAATGGAAAAAAGGAAATCCCTTGCTCCTGCTCTTCTCCTACCCTCTCCTCTACAACTCTGCTTTAGAGTTCCCAAAATGTGTTAAAATAAAGCATTAAAGAAACTAAGTTCAATATTATTATTTCTATCAAGGGAAACAAACTTTCTCTTACATTCAGAAGCTGTTTAGCTTGAGGAGATTTGTTCTGTTCCCAGACTGCAGAGTACACGACACAGGGCCCAAGGAATTTTCTATAATTGGACAGTACCATTTAAATGTCAACTTTGAGTGCACAACTAAACAAGAGTCACACCTAAACCACTGCTATTAAACAGCCAGCTGACATGTACCCTTACAGCATTCTAACCAGCACATAGGTAGTATCAGGAAAGAACAAAAATAGAATAGTTCAACATGAGGAGTGACCGACAGGCTGGTGGAAGAATTCTCCTGCTGAAATTTTCCAAAGAATCTATCTTTTGCAATGCTGTTGTACAGAAATGCTTACCAGAAAATGTTAATGCCTGACAAGTACCCCACTGTAATATGACTTGATAAACCACAGAGTCCCATTGACCCCAAACCCCCAACCACTTGAAAAAGCAGAAAACTGTTAGGAAAGCCAGCAACAAAAGAACACGAAGAAGGAACAATGAAAATCTAGCTACCCTAAACCAGAAAATACTCATCAGATATTTCAGGGAGAAAATGTTACTAAAAACATAAGCAGGAATTGGTCACAACTTAGGGATGCATTGTAAAGATGTCTCCTAAGGCATTATTTTGTCAATGTGACCCTACAGTAAAACATGGGCAGTTACTCTACAGTTACTCTACAGTAAATTTTTTTTAAGTTTTTGGTTTGCTTTTTAGCTAATACAGCAAAAATTCTATCTGCCAGTGCTATCATGCTCTCCTATGAGGGCTTCCCTTAGAAGGAAGAATATTTATTTCCTTAGTGCAAATGGTTCTTCAAAGCCAAGTCCTAGAATATCACACTTCCAACTGGAGTTGGATAAGCTGCCGTATGTTATCACCAGACTGAAGCCAATTTGCCATCGATGGAATGCAGTATCACAGCTGGGAAAATGCCTGACATGCTGCACAGCCTCTCAAAGATGCCTGAAAGGCTCACAGAGCCTCAGCTACTCCCACCTCAGACCCACCCACACACTCACAGACATCCCAGGACTCCCCCAGCTGTACCTGGGGTCCTTTGCATTCCCCTTTTCAGCCCTTTTCTGTCATTCGTCAAAGCTTGACCAGCATTTCTAAACCTTCTATTCTGCTTTTTCTCACACACACTCACTCCTTTTTCTTTTACTCCAAAGCACTCCAGCCTGAATCCCTGGAAGATGGTTTGCCTCACAAAGCTTGTGACCTTAACCGAATCACACAGATCAATTCCCCAAAATTTATCTTAAGTAGCCAATACATTAATTCATTAATTACAGCAGGGTAAGACAAGACTGACATTCCAAGACCACAGTTCTCAAAACAATTTGTCTAGTTACATTACAGCTCTTCAAAGTGAAACACACCTCACTACCACCAAAAGTATAATTTTGAAGTTCCATTTTAAAAGTATTTTTTTTTTCCTCTCCTTGCTTTAATCACAGTTTTGACAAAATTCAAGGGACTGGACTAAACCAGTTTATCCACAGCACACTACAAGACTGGAATCCCATCAGACCAAATTGGCAATTAACCTGCAAAGCAGAATTTGTGAATGGAATGTGTCCTATTCCCTCACACGCACCTCAAGTGTTTCTTTGATGGCTGAAAGGACAAATGTCTAAACAACTCCTAACGTAAAACTGTCTTGAGGTACATGAACAGCAGAAGAGAAGAAACACAAGGCCAGAGGTGCAACAAACACAACTTCAAGCTTCTTGCCAGTGAGTGTGAAACCTATCTTTAACATATTCTACTTAATTTTCAAAACATTTTTTCATCCTACAAGCCAGAATTTCAGATTTTACAGGTATCAAGACACAGGACCTCCTATGGTTTAGATCCACAGCCCCCACTAAGTTTCCAGCACATACAAAATCCAAACAGAGCCTGTAATGTGCCATGGCCCAGAAGCAGGGGATTGCCTGCAGCTTGTCACCATCACTGGATGCCCAAAGGCCTGGGAAGAGTATCCAGACACATCACCAAGCTCTAGGAGGAGCAGAGCCATTACAACACAGACTTTTGTCAAGTGCAGCAGCTCCAGTGGCCCTCAGAGCCAGCTCCAGCACAGTACCCTGTGATGAGGTTACCCATGCTGCTGGAAATGTCATCTTTCATGTACAATATAAACCCCTTCTGTAGCTACTAACAATACCCTGGCATTGTTTGCAACACGTAGGTTGTTGCACTGGCTAACACCCAATTCCTGTAATAGTATTCTATCTACCTACAATCACCACAAGAAAATACTCATTCTCAGCCCTGACTGGCTCTGCAGCACAGCAGCAAGCTCCCGAGAGCTGCCACACTCCAGCAAGTTCTGTATCTCCCTGTGCAGCTATCTGTCTGCACTGATCAGACACTTCTCTAGAACTCTAGAAACACCTAGAGATCACTGGGAATAAAGGAGCCCTTTTCATACAGCACAATTAGTCATATCAGCAGTGATAGCTATTTTGAGCAGCACGCATTAATCACTATCATTAGCAGGATTTCTGGTGTACCAGCATTCATTGTACCAAGAACAAGTCTTTTCCTATTACAGTACTACCACATAAACAAAAGCAGCAGCAGCACAATTTCTCTTGACATAACCCTGTTTTGAGTAAGGCAAGTGGCACCACTTAAAATGACTGTCAGTGTCACGTTTATAGAAAAGCTTACTTAGGACAGAAAAATACAATTGTTTTGCTGCAAAGAAAAACTGGCCACCATTTGTACACTGAGGCAGAAGGGGTGTTGAAAACTAATAATAGTGGGAAGTAGGGAATAAAGATCTCAAGCTGGAGACAGCACACCCTCAGAAAAATAAGATGCCAGTGACCAAATCCAAGCTGACGCTCAAGAAGCAGAGAAACCTAGATTTCACTTTCACACATCAGTAGCGCACATTTGCCTTATTACATTTTATGAGGGATTATTTACCTGTTAGCCAAAATTTCAGAGTCTCAGAACAGACTTTCACCCGGATAAATATTCCCCATATGCATCATTTCCAGCTTCCTAACCACCCTGAGTAACTCCTGATGCAGAGTGAGAGCGGCCAGAGGAAGCACTCCTGCCTTACACCCACCAAGGAAGCAGCATCTCAAGAGGCTGTGGAAAGCAGTGCCTCTGAGCTGCTCCTAGCCTGGCTCCTCCAAGCACCAGGAACACCTACACTGACCCGAAACACACCTACATCACAACCATACATTAAATACCTAGAAAGTTCTGCTGGGAAACAAAGAACAGAAAATACAGGAACAAAGAAAAACCTTCTGCAAGTCTTGAACTTGGAAAACTCGCCATTCTTTACAGAAGGGTCCAGCTTTATCTTCTGCAGAAACATTGCCCGGTAGAAGACTTGAGCCAAGTGCAAAATCATGTTGGTACCCACGATACACAAACAGCACCTGTGCACATACCAAAATGGGCCAAGACTGCTGATCCCACGAGCTGCATACCAAAACCTTCATGTGGCCAGGAGCCACACAACACATGCCACATACCTCAGAGAGGTGAGGGAAGGGGTGCTTCAGCCGCCCGTGCCCACAGAAAACAAATACAGTGTCTCAAAAGCACCACCACCTCTTTGCCCACAGCACCGAGCTGAGGAATCAGAAACATCCAGCATCAATAGCCTTAAAACCCACCAGCTGTAGATGTGAGATTGTCCAACAGCCACCCGGCAGTTACAGATGCAGTGCCATTTTGGGAGCCAAGCCTCAGCCTCGTGCCAGCTGCATGTGCCTCCGAAGCCACCTCATGAGCCACTCTGCAACACCGAGTTTATTGCAGCTACACACCACTGAGGTATGGCCCTCTTCACAGCACCCAGACATCTGTGCCTCTATAAAAACAGTAATGATAATAATAACGGCAATTTATACCCGTAACAGGGTTTATAACCTCACATAAAACAAACAAATAAGACCTTCCGACTGCTTTCAAGTTCCTAAGCCGACATTCATCCGACAAATACATATCTCTACCATTTCCTCTCCACTCAAACGAATAAAACCCCTCAAGCAGGGAGAAGCAAAGGAGCATTGGTAAAGTTTTAAGCTACAGCCCAAAATGCGTTATCCTCTTCTGCTGGCAGCTACCATATGCATGCAACATAAGGCTCGGCAACAACAAGCGGCACTCGAAGCTCGCATCAGGTGAACAATCTGTACGCAGCCCCTGCAGCGGCCGGGGACGCAGCTGCCCGCAGGCCCCGGGCCGGGGGGCGCGGAGCAGCCCGGGGGGCCCCGAGCCCGGCCGGGCTTTGGGCGGCGCCGCTGCTCTTGAGCTGCCCAGCGAGCCCTGCGCTGTCACTCGGCTCTGCTGCGCGTCCCGCCAGGCCTGGCCACAACAAGCTCAGCTCTGAGAGCTCCTGCTGCCGGTTCTGCTCTCCCTCTCCCTGGTTCCCTGCAGGTCCTGGCCATCTCAAGACTGTGGTGTGCTGCTTCCAGGACACAAAGCTGGGGAAGAGCTGGCAAGCGCTGCTGCAGGAGCTGATGGCCACAACCACAACTCTTTTAACTGTACCGTGTTTTACCAACATGCAGTTTTACCAAGAGATCCCAAAACTACACGAGCCATGCTGAATAAAGTGCACTGTGTTCACGTGTAGAAATCTGTTCTACAGACTGTGTTTTACAGCTCAATACACCAACGTGTTCTTTCTCACTATCTGGAGGTATTCAAATCTGCTCCTATTTTGTTATCCTACTGATTTAATTGTATTCAGTGGAGTGTGCAGGAAGTGGTTCTGTCAACACTAACAGTGGAGTTACACACAATAGTCATATTTTTTATTCTGACTCCCTGGATTTATTTACATATTGTTACAGGGTGGTTTTTTTTTGTTTGTTTTTTTTTTTTTACAGTGCTATATAAAAACTTTTAGCACATAACTATCCCTAATGAGCAGACATTTTATTTGAAATTTACTGCAGATTAAATTTATAGATTGAGAGCATAAAGGCACAAAGGACTTGTAGGAATTTTAGCCTTAAAGGTAACATGTCTTACCAGATGGCAGGAATTTTAGACAGACTGTGAAATAAATAGGAAGTTCACACTTCCTGATATAAACAGGGCATGAAAACATGCAATTCAACAGAGTGTATAATAACCAATGAAGAATAAAGAGGAAACTCTCAAGGGCTAGAAAATAGGTGGTATAGGTATCTATTGTGACATCATACATTAAAATTATTTTTTGAGGTCTTACAATGCAATATTTAAAATGAGTAGTCTATTTTTAGAATTTTGTGAATTCTATTTTGAAAGATGGTAGTAAGATTAACTATTTAGTAAAGTCCTATGTAAATCAGCATAGAATAGATGTATTCAGTTATGTTTTCTCCATTGATCTTACATATAAGAGTGCTTTCCAAGACCTCCCTTGAATAGGAAGGGAAGGAAATCAGTGCACAGTTTAAACAAGAAAAAAACCGTAACAATGCTTTTTAAAAAAAAGAGGAAAGCAGCTTTGAAATGTATTATGTGTACAACTCAATGTCATAGGCTGTAGGAGGAAGAAATCATTAGGAAAAAAGAGCAGCACTGGCACAATAGCCTTGTGCAGATGTTAATAAGGATATGCCTATCAGCAAGGTGTGGGATAAGATTAGAAGGATGAACGTTAGTAATATAATCCCTAAAGAGTGTGTTGAAGGAAAAACCTAATTCACAAGAGGTTGTTTCTGTTAACCAGATGGATAAGTGTTTAGGAAAAGGAAATGTGGGGAAGACCGGGTGATTTTGGAAAACAGACTTGACCACTAATGTTCTATTGTATCAGCAGTGATTTTCCCTTTGTGGCTGGTAATCACTGTGGATGCTGTAGTGAGGGCGTGTTGAAGTGCAGGATGAGCAGTGTTGCCCTGGTGTTCGGGCTGTGTGTGCAGGTGGAGCTGAGCAGCAGTGAGCACGCAGCTCTGGCCGGGCTGTGCTGTACAGTCTGTACAGTGTGCCACAGCCTGACCCACTCCTGCTGCCTGCATGTTTGACAATGCAGGCATACATGTAGGCAAATCGACCTTCTAAAAATACATTTCACAAATCATCCATTCCAGCTGTCAGGGTGAGAGCAGTCCTTTTGTCCTGCAGTCCTGGACAACGAAAATCCCATTTCAGACAAACGAAATGTAGTCCTTTGCTGCCCGCCAGGAAAGCTGCTGACCTGTGCTTTGTGCCCTCGGTGCTCTGCCCACCATTGTGTCCAACCTGAGGCTTAGCACACAGCTGGCCTCCTGCCCAGGGCTCTGTAAACAGCACCAACTGGCAAAAGCAGGCGTGGGCAGAGCCCCCGGCGCTCCCCGGAGCAGCTCCTGCCCGCTGCTCCTCAGGGCCAGTCCCACTCTGGAAAGACTGAGCATGGCTGGCTATAAATGGCCTCCTAAAAATAAAAAGAGGCACAATCACCTTTTCTTGTCAGACAAATCAAAGAGCCAGATCACCTTAAAAAATGCTAGGCTGCAAGCCATACTGGTCATAGGAAAAATAAATAAGTACATAAAGTATATAAACCTCGTAATCCTGCATGGATGAGTCCAGTTTTGATTGAACTGAACGGAGCCTGCTTACTTCAACTGACGCTGGATGTGTCCCATGACCTTCTGGTTTATATATTTAGATTCCCCATACTAATCTTCTCTTCCACATGTCTGATGTCATCACCATTATTATAAGCAGAACTTGTGACTTGATTGACAGCAAACAACCTTTCCAAAAAGTAGCCAAGGAGTGAGAATGTTTTGTCAGAGTGACACATGATCATGACTGCCTGCAGTCCATTTTTGTTTACAGGCAGTGGAAGAATTTCAGATATTTATAAGGTCAGTGTCCCTAGTCCAGAGAAGAAGGACAAGGTGTGTTTGGTTTTAAATTGTTGTTCTGCTTACAAAATTGACTTCCAGTTGGGCTTGAATGAAGGACTAGGCTCTGACGTAAATCCTTTGCCTGTTGCAGCTTGGAATGGGCTGCTCCCAACTGCACACACAAAGGGGTCACTGGCATGCCATATTTCTGCTTTAGGAAGTCAAATACTTAAACATATGCATGATTCTTTTTGACTGTCTGGTGATTCAGATGTCTGGGATCCTTGTTTCATTTTCCTTGTTTTTTTGAAAACTTTCACAAAAAGGAATCAGCTTGCAAAACCACAAAAATGTACTTCTCAGCCAGCTGTGGTAAAATAGTTTGCATGGCCATCTCAATACCGGAGAAATCTTTATATTTAAAAAATCATTCTGATGATTAACAAATGAGCATTAATTCATTATCAGTAAGGCATTAGCAGTTGCCTTAGAACCATTCAAGGTATGCTGCAAACACAGAGGAGTTGAGAGAATATTTGTGAGAGAAAAGAGCTGTTGACATTCAGTCACACTAGAACTTGGAATATTGCTTTGAAACAGATATGCTGCAAATGTGGGAATGAGAACTAGACTGGGTTTTTTCTACTTAATTTGGTATTTAAGTATATGGCACAGTAAGGTTTGACAAAAAGTAAAATGTAAATCTATGTAACTGACCCCACTTAATAGTGTGTTAAGAATTTGTAATATTATAGAGTCTAAATACTATTTAGGAAGAAGGAAACAAAATTTAGAATTCATTCTAGAACATTTATGAGCAGGTGTAGAAAAATAGTGTCTATTCTACTAAATGTTAGAAATTAGAGTCTGCCTACTAAATGATGTTGTGTTTGTTTGATCATGTTCAACTGATTCCATTAAAGTGTTGTGTATGTTTCAGATAACAAAATTTGACTTTTTTAGTGTCTTATATTGGATATAAAATTGTTATTTTAACAGTTTGTACTAAACATTTTACCATACAAATGATAAATTTTATTTAACTTATGTTAATATAAATACACAAAAATAATACATGTTTATAAATACATATAAATATTTAAAGCGATCTAGAAAGAAGCCTAAATGGTAGTTTTAAATCATTTCCATGTGGTAATTCCTGTAACATGGGATTGTCGCAGGGGGACTGGTTAGGGGCCCAAATGTTATTGCATTGACTTAGTTTTTGTCAGGGCACTGTAACAAAGGCAACTAAATTTCAGCTGCCTTAGTGGTACTGTTATTACCTTTTGCCTATACAGATTTTTATTGTGGAGGACTGCCAAATAAGGAGTCATTTTGAAATTGAGAACATGGAGTTATGAAAGTAGTTTGAACAGAAGGATGAGGGAAACATATAAGTTTATATTTCATGGATGAAACTTTGCTGAATTACTTGATAACATAAAGTGTAGTAGATTCTTCATCAATTACTGAAATGCTCAGTGTTTCACTGTACATCATAGGTCCATCTATGCCTGAGATGGGCATGTAAGTACCCTCCTTACAGCAAGGCAGGAATCCACTCACAGGAACCACCTATGAGACTGACCTAACCCACTCCTGCTATACCCACCGTGCAGAGCCTCTTTGGGGTGTCCTGTCCCAACCAGGCCAGGTCTCCTGGTGACATCATGAAATGGGAGATGCCCATCAGCTCCTCTTTGGCCACGACAGAGCTTTGGCCACCTTTCTGTCCTATGCTTGAGAAGATATTCAGGTTGTTGACAGAGAAGAGTGGGACTTACCTACTAAAACTTGGCAACGCAGGCTCGCCTGTTCTCCATGGGAGAGTGCAGCCCTCCGTGCTTGACTGGCTGAGGACCATTTTCCTCTGGCTCCAACAGGAAAACCAGCATAGGTGACCTCCCTGGCTGGTTTCAGGTTCCTGATTTGTTTAGTCATTTCCAATGCCTTGGTACTTTCTCGATGACTGCTGCCAAGGCTGTACATGGTTTGTTTGCATCGTCGGCCTCTGCAGGACCAGGCTCTCCTCCACACCTCTGATACCAGGGCTGAGCAGCTTGCTCCCTTCGTCACTAAACTAAAGTTGATGATACAGTGCCCAGTAATTTTTTTGTTTGCTTGCTTGCTTTTTTCTCAGCAAAAATGGTACCCAACTGGCTGTGTTATCAAGTGCAGCT